GGGGGGGGGGGGGGGGGGGGGGGGGGGGGGGGGGGGGCTAATGTGCGTGCACGTGCGCACGAACGTGCAACAGCAGGAGTAGGCCTATGAACATGCAGAACTAGAATTTTTTTTTTTGTTCTTCAGGTGGATTTGACAGTTATTATTCCCCATAAAATCAAAGATACAGACACAGACATTGTCTATATATATATATATAGACAATGTATTTATTTATGTATTTATTTATTTATTCTATTTTTCCCCAAACATTAAATTAAGGTCCTTATGACTGTTCTAACCGTGGCTGACACTGGGCAGAACCTCCCTGCTGTTGTTAGCCGTCAGCTACAGTACACGATGGTGAACTTTTGCCATGCAGAGGTTACGTGCCCTTTCGGTGTGAATGCCTCTAAAAAGGACCGGCGCCCGCTTTACTCTGTACCCCCGAGGGAAGGATTATTCTGTGCAAACCACCGTCTAATGAGAGGTCACTAATTGATCTGCCGTCCCTGCGGGACCCCCTCCCGGGGGAGAAAAGTGCATTTAGAAACAGGGCACCTGTCTTCACAGCCCCCCGTTGCCCCCTTTTGTAAGCTTCCACTGCCCCATGTAAACAATGCGTGACATCCCCCATGTGTTTGGAAGTGATTATGGTATACAAATATTTCCAGAGGGCGGAGACTGTCTGCAGGCACGGAAGAAACCAAAGAGGTGCGAAAAGGTGTGGAGGGGATATCTTTTATTAATAGCCCAGCTGTAGTAGTGACTCCCCCTTGGATGGTTAATCACCAGTGGCACCAGAACTATAGGCACCGCTCGCCAGCTGATTCTAAGAACTGTCTCCTCATTGCGATATACGGCCCTGCTTCCTGGGCCGGGCCCCTGCTTTCATTAGCGAGTCCCTGCTGTGCTCATATTTTAACCAGCCGGAGGCACTATACTCCCTGGCTCACCAGCTCACTGTGAGCTGTTTGAAGGCCGCGTTTCCTCCACAGCCTCCTCGCACCTTCCCGAGGTTTCCGTGGAGGGTGTCGAAATTAGCAGTAAAAGACAGCACATCCCACAAATAACAGGTAAAGGGACTGGCTGCGAGCCCCGCTGTCAAACGGGCTTAATTGAAAATTACACAGCAGAGCATGAATCAGGTATTGTTGGAGTTTAAGTGCAAATGAGTAAACCCATTTAAGCTCATAATACCAGTCTTTTGGTTAGAAATGCCTTATTTCTTATATTTTCTTTGATGGCATAAAAAGCACTTCAAGCTCTTTTTACAGTTAATATTCCAGAAAGTGTTAGGTTTCATCTTATAAATGATTGTTTTCTATGTTTAAAACCTTTTCGCCCCATACTTTTGTATACGGTGGGGCTCCCTCCTGTTCCCTTAGCTTCTCGGCCCCTTTGCCTGTTTTTTTTAAGAGTCCAGCAGAAACAAGCCAGGCGGAGGGCACGATGACCCTTTAAGGTGTGACATGCTCCAGTGGAGTGAAGTCTATAGAACTGCTCACCGGAAAACTCCTCTTATATTCCTCTTCTCCATCTTTTTTTCCCTTTCATTAACTCCACTTGACACTCTCCTTTCCCTCATTTCCTTTTGTCTTCCCTGCATGCAGTGGCATGTTGTCCGCTCGGTGACGGTAATACTCTGTAATGGCTGTGGTGATACAAAAACCTCAGTCAGGAGCAGAGAGTTTAGATGACTGACTGCGATTCCCCCCTGTTTTATTTAACGTTTTCTTTCCCATCACGGTTTGCAAAGTAGCTGTTAACATTTTAATGCCGCAGTCCTCCACACTATTGTCTTCATTTAACTTTTACTCTCAATTACATGAAAGTAACAAATTAATACAACATGGATTAAAGTGAAAAAAAAATCTTCTGACTGAAATTTCACAGAATGCATTTTGCTGTAACCGGCAGCGGTAAAGCTGCTAAAAGATTTGAATTCTCGCTTTAGCATTGTTAATACATCATTTTTTAAGGTTTGATATTTTATTATGTGATAAAGTTCCTATTAGATCCATCCATTTCCATAACCGCTTATTCCCCTATTTAGATCCTTAATATGCAATTAGTTTATCCAAATGACGCCTGTTTATAAATTTGTTCCGACGTTTTGGGAGATGTGAGGATCCACCTGTGGGACCAGCGTTCCGGGGGGTCTCAGGGACAGCCGCCTGTTTCCTGACGGGACGGGCCGGTCAGCCTTCGTCCTCATCCCGGGTGTGACCGCCAGCACCTGCACTCCGCTCTGGTTTGGGTCACACGCGTCCTGTTCACAACATCATTGGCTATGCAGTCTGACAATCTGCCAATAAAAAATATCACCGGCGCCCCCCCGCCCCCCATTTTTCTCGTCCTCCGATCTACATTGATCTTCTAACTGGCCTCTGTGAACTCCAAATGACGGAAATCCATCGTAGCGACGGAGAACTTTAATCCATGATGCAATAAGCATGCTTTTAAGAGGCATAGCTCCGAGCCCTTTCTTGCAGGCCCTAATAGGGCACAGTCCTCCTCTGCTGTACATCAACAGGCCTAAACAACCGCCTTTTCTATGGTAATGCTACCTCTGAAGAAAGAGACCCCTATTATTGCCATTGTCAGCTGTGGCTGTGATACTATTGCCATAACCCTCCACATAATGGCTCCATGTATCACTAGTAATCTAGTCTTTAGGATTGTGTCCCCTCGGAATGAGCGGGCGGAGGGGGGGGGCTGAGGAGGGGGGGAAGCTCGGGACGAGGGTCGGCGGAGCTTGATAGCGGGCACGGGGACACCAGTGCAGGCCTACATTCTCCAAATGATTTTATTTCTCTCCCCTCTGCGACTGAGCCATGCTAATAGAGGCCATTTATAATGGTCACCGGCTTCTGCCGCTACCGAGCACAACGGGGCTGAGAGGCATGGCGAGCACAAAGAGCCAGCCCTTTCTCTTCTCTCTGGCAATGCAGCACGGGAGGTGGGGATCCATTCAGGAGGAGTAGGTGTAGATATGTTTGCTGGCACTATTCATCAGGCTGATTTCATCTCGTAATCACTGCGGCAAAATGAGTTGTGATGATACGGGGAAGACTTTTAATAAGTGAAGGTGTTATCTACTGTTTACCGCCGTCACGTCTTCAGGCAGTATTGTGTTCCGAGTCAGACCCCTTCTTTTTTTCTTTTTTTTTTTTTACACAGTAAATGCTAATGTGGCCAAGTTTGTTTAACTGCTGTTGCTTCATCTGGTGGTAATTTAATGCAAGTAATGTATTTGTCCTCGGTCAAACTAAATACATTAGCAACAGTTCTCCCCACAGGCTCATACCGTTAAAGAAGTTACAAAGCCGGAGAGTTGCTCAAAGTCAGGACCGGTGTTGAAATTTCATTTAGAATCAGGCCACATTGTCCATTTTGAACCTGGAAGATGATGTTGACAAAATGCCACAAGTGTTGTCAAATAGTCCCCAATCAAGAGAATACAAGACCTATCCAATGTACGAAAAGACCATTACTGGCACCTAAATACTCCCTTCTATAACTATTGTAGTTATATGATAAATACCTCTGCATAAGATATTTATGCCTTCACTTATGTTTTAGTACACTCGAAATAAAACAAGCAGAGATGCAGGGTAAAGACAAAATGCAGTCTTGTATAAATTTGCCCATCCTGCAGATGGCTTATGCTACAGATGGGGGCTATAATCCACGCAGGTCGTAAAGGGAGTTATGGTTCTCACTGAATGCCCTGCTTTTGATATTTCAGCCTTTTACCTGAACGTGTCAGGCAAGCAGAATAAAAAGAGAACAGATCATTGGGCTCGCTGTGTATACCGAGGCCAAAGAGTCGCGATGCCAAAAACACCAAAGACCCATGCTGCGTTTTATTACAGGTAATTAGATGTTACAGGTTGTCGTGCGCACAGAAAAAGGAGGATAAAATCGAGCCTGACTTTGAACAAAGAGCGAAAAAAGAAAAGCACGGGCGTGTTTGCTCGTCCTGCAGGTCTGCGTTAATGCAGCCTGCATTCCGGCCGAAAAAATTTCACTCGGGTTGCATCATCTTCTCTGTGGGATCTTTCTCTCTCTCCTCCTCTCCTGTTTGGCTTGAGATGCCTGAATGAATGATTGTGTGTGTCTGTTTATGTGCGCCGTCTGCTGGCCCAGAATGCTCCTCTAAGGTCAGCCCAGAACGCGCTCAGGCCTCATGTTGTGACCCGCTCCCATGTAGATGTGTTGCAATCGATTTCCCGGGTTTTTCAGACAAAGAGGTATGAGCTATGTCAGACAGAAGGTCACTTCATACCAAAGTAAAAACAACCACACCCTCTGTCCTATAAGAACCCGGAACGGCGAAGCAACAAGCAGTAAAGAAGAGGTGGAGACAGGGTAGACGCTCATTTGTCAGGAGGAACATTGTCAAGGCACCACTGCTTCTGTTGTCCATTATTATTGGGGAAGACTGTCCGCTTGGGGCCGGCTGATGGCTGAGCAGGGAGCCAGTTAGTCACAGTGAGAGATGGCCTGACCAGGCCAATGGAGGGGCGGTCCATGGAGCTGCTGCAAGGATTAGCATGCTAACAGCGGGCTGGGAGTTATGTGGCCTGTCAGGGGGGTGGAGCCCTCCGGCTCCTCTGACCTCAGCAGTCCGCTCATTAAAACCACTGACCTTTACATACACATAGAGAACCAAAGACAATGTAAAGCTATGGCTGGACTCATTTCCCTTCCTAAAGATGGACTGAAACTAATTAGCATCCATGCAGCTTTCAAACTGAGTTATGCATACATAACTCAGTTATGCACACACAAAAGCAAAACCCCTATTTAACATGAAGTCCAGGAAAGCCATGTCTGCTATCAACCACAACCGGTCCAAGAAGATGGATACATGAATGAAAGGTTGGTATAGTGGGTAGGTTGGAACAATGGGTACTCACTTTTGATCTGAAACGTTTTCTTTTAAGACAAAATTTCTACCTGCAGTTTCTGCTTTAATTGTTGCTTTTATTTTTGATCTGACATGACTCCTCTGACTGCACTGGTACCAAACAGATCCATGTAATGTTTGGAAGGTGAGAGGCATGTCTGAAAAAGTCATTTGTCGGAAGAAAAGCTTTTTTGTGTTTTGACACTATTAAGTAGCCCAGAGCTAGGTTAGAATAAAGTCTGCTTTAAATCTTTTATCAACATTTAGCCTTTTGCTTTCCAGAAAAAGGGTTCTGAAGGTTAGATACACTTGTGGTAAACTCTTTTTTTATCTCTCTACCTATTTGTTTTTTTAATGTCGCTTTCCGGGTTCATCGCCCTGTTGTACCATTCTTTCAGGATTAAAAGTCTCACAAGTACTCCTTGGAGAAGTAAATATTTTGTTTTCAAGGTTCCTGCATCAGTGAAATATTATTGCATTTTGCGGATCATTTTTAAAAAGTTAATGCTCTGGGCCACCTCATTCTTTTGCAAGCCTAATGCTGCATTCCACATCCCTCGCCTTCAAATACCGGTGGCCAGTTCTGTAGATGTTGAAGTCTAATTAAAATACAGTCAAGTCCCACATGTTTGTTTGCAGGGCTGACAATATGCTGTTCATAAAAAAATCCTTCTGCCTTTTTCAAATGTTTACCTGGATCATTTTTAATTAGAAAAGGCTCGGCTGTAGAGCACAAGTTTAGAGGGGAAAAAACACCCTAAATATAACACAGCTTTATGCATGCGGCTCTCATGGCACATCTTTTAAAGTTCTTAGTGTAGAGCCTTTGTATAATTTTCTTAATCCCACTCCAGCACTTCCTCTTCCAGTACTTTTCTGACCATCACTTCCCAAACATTCCACCACCTGTCCCAACAGCTCCATTCATTTTGTACCCTCTCCCTGGTTCTATTCATTATTTAAAGGATAGTTACTCTTCCCTTTTTTACTCTAAAGGTTTCCTTTGATTTTCCCTCTCAACCTTTCATGATGCCAGTGTGTTCCAAGCTAACTAAGCAGCTGAGCTGGTGTCCCACGTGGGACCAGCATGCTTTTTTTTACCCCCTGTGACCAGCGAGAAATGAGTGGGGTCCGACAAAATCTGCAGGCTCATCATTTTGTTAGAGCGCTGTTTCTCAGAAGTAAATTATAATCTCTATTATCATCATTTTCAAATTTCACTTTAGAGAATCCTTATCTTTACTATGCGCTGTATCACATGTTAAGGAAAAATAAAGTTAAAACACACTTTCCTTTGCATACTGATGTAAATGTCCAAAAGCTTTTCTGTATCCTAACTCAGAAACTATTGTGGTTTATCTGTCTGTCTGTGCAGACAATCAGACATTATCATACAGGCGTGTGTGTGTAGAACACACATCATTTCATAAAGATACGTTGTGTCTTGAGAATAATTCTGTGATACAATCTTTTATGTGTAAATGCTTTAATTGCAGATGTCAGGTGATGCATGTACATTGCCATCTGAATGATTAAAAATACACTCAAATGGACTTTAGACCCAAATCTTATTAAAACTCTAACTTCCATGCATGACGGGTCCAGCTGCAGCTCCCTGCTGTGGAAATTTCCCATAAGAAAATAGCATCGTGACACAGCAGCAAAATAAAATACACTGCCAAAGTTTGTCACAGCTAACTGAGGCAGTGGCCCATTAATG